TTGGCCAGACAGCTGTCCTCCAAATTTCCTAGCATAGACTGGTGAGCACATTCAAGACTACATCTGTTAACTGAAACAAGTCAATTTGGTAGCCCATTGATTCCTGGGGCCTTGCTTTTTACCAATGCCTTCAATGCAGCTTCCACTACCTCCTTCAATACCATTGGCTCCTGTTCATATGGTACCTCTTGAAATTTTTCAGTGTCAATCAATTCTTGCTGGTACAGTGACTCTGTATTCCCCCTAACTATCTTCTTTTGATGCTTTCTGGGTTATTCAATGCCTATTAGCATCTTTCTATATTGCAACATGAGTCTTACATTTATTTTTCAGTTCTCTCAGCTTAAGAAATGCAGAGTGAGTTTTCCCCTTTTTATTCTCCAATTCCAGGTTTCTGTACATTCCATTATAATACTTTGATTTGTCCTCCCAACCTGCCCTTTGAAATCTTCTGTTCAGCTCTTTTACTTTGAAGTATTTTCTTTTTGTTTTGGCTTCTCGATTCCCCAGCACAATCTTTAGTCTCTTTTGACATCCATGTTGATTTTTTTGTTCTCTTCTGTTTTTGTAATGAGCTTTTGCTTTCTTCATGGATGATATCCATGGTCTTTGATCAGTGGTGTTCAACGGTTCAAATGTATTCGTAAGATGATCATGAAATTCAGATGGAATTGATTCAAGATTATATTTTGGCTTCTACAGACTTAATTTTCTTCAGACTCAATTTGAACTTGCATATGAATAATTGATGATCTGACCCACAGTTCACCTCTGGCCTAGTTTTGACTGCCAATATTGAGCTTCTCCAATGATTTCTTCCACAAACATACTCAATCTAATTTGTATGCAGCTCATCAAGTGAGATCCACATGTAAGGTTGTCATTTGTGTCTTTTTAAAAAGGTATTTGCAATGAACAAATCATTGTAAATAAAAAATTTAATCATTCTATTTCCAGCCTCATTTCTATCACAAAGGCTATATTTTCTGTTAGGGACCTCTCCAAAGTACTGAAGAGCAATGGTGTCTCTTTGGAGACAAAGGTGTGTCTGACACAGGCCATGGTCTTCGCAATCACTTGTTATGCATCAGAGAGTTGGACAATGACCAAGGAGGATAGGAGACTTGATGCCTTTTAGCTGTGGTGCTGGAGAAGAGTATTGAGAATACTATGGACTGCTAGGACAACAAACAGATTTGTCCTGGAAAGGGTTAAACCGGGTGGCTCCTTGGAGGCAAGGATTCTGAGGCTCCGTCTAATATACTTTGGACATGTTGTGAGGAGAGACCGGTCCTTGGAGAAGGACATCATGCTTGGGAGGGTGGAGGGACAGCGCAAGAGGGGAAGGCCCTCTATAAGGTGGAATGATTCAGTGACTGGGAGTGTCAGAGATGGTGCGATTGGCACAGGAGAGAACAGAGTTTAGAGCTGCTGTACATAGGGTCGCTATGAGTTGGAGGCGACTCGACGGCACATAACAACAACAACAACAACATTCCTTCTTCACTGTTTCTTACTTTTGCATTCTAGTCACCAATTATCATTAACACATCTTAATTGCATGTTCAGTCAGTTTTGCACTGTAAACTTTGGTAAAAATTCTCAAATTCTTCATCTTTGGCTCTAGATGTAGGAGTGTCTATTTTAATAATGATCATGTTAACAGGTCTTCCTTGTATGCATATGGATATTATCCTATCACTCACAACTAATAGGCCTTTGAAACGCTATGAACACTAAAGAAAGAGGACAGTGGTAGAGCCCAGACTGAAGGTCAGTTGAAATGAGGAAAAACAATAACAAACATCACTTAACAACTAGGACATGGAATGTACATAGCTTGAATGTTGGAAAACTGGACTTCTTAAAAATGAAACGGAGCGCATGAATATCAACATACTAGGTATTAGTCAGATGAGATGGACCAGCTATGGTCACTTTGAATCAGGTAAGTATATGGTATACTATGCAGAGAATGAAAAACAGAGGAAGGATGGGGTTGCATTCCTAATAAAAAAGTAAATTTCATGTTCTATCCTGAAATACTGGGGCAATGGGGGTTGGTGTGTCAGAGTTAGTGAGACTGGCTCTGGACAGGGAAGGGTGCAGAGCTGCTGTACACAGCGTGATTATACATCACAGGTGACTCAATGGCACATAAAAACAATAACATACTAGGATAGGTTTGGAAGCAGGAGTGGCATCTACTTCCTAAATAACATGCCTCTGGAAACTCTATGAACTTCGATAAATATCGACAGTTGTAGAGGGGCTTCGGGCCTTGTTCATAGGGTCACTATGAGTCATGCTTGACTCGAAGGCAATCAACAACAACAACAACATCCTGAAATACAATGTTGTGAACAACAGAATGATATCCATATGCTCCATTGGAATAAAGATAGGCAATCTCCTCTCATGAACTTTACCATTTCTGAAAAGTTGCTGGAAGGTCAACTATGAGTCAGTTCTGACTTGAGGGCAATGAGTTGACTGGACTGAATCCAGCCACCATGGGGCAAGACATGTCTCTCAGAGCCAAGTATTTCCACTTCTGTTAAATGAAGTATCAAAACAAAGTTGAGTCTTAACCTCCCATCCTGATGGGAGTACACTTTGTATGAGAGAGTAGGCTTAACTTTCTCAAATTAATTGACATCTTTTCACATTTTTTTCACTTTCAACTGGCATGGGAGTTCAGAGAGATGTCTTTATTTCACACCTGAGGAAAAGAAAAGGTTAAATGGTTTGCTCTGGGTCCCATCTTATTCTAACCTGGACCTGTTCTGGGTACTTACGTCCTATTGGAAAATCTCTCCCTTGTGAATGCTCACTGAAAAGGAGAAAAAACATCCTTTGGCATCTCAAGTGGCTGCACCAAAAATACCATATAGGCTGCTAATCCCTGACTAGCTGTGGTCCTTTGTGGGGGTCCAGGTGACAGGTGCCCTTCTACCTGGGTTGTTCTTATAGATCACCCTTTTCTTCTTAGGATGAGCTGGTTCCAAGCCTTTCCGTCCCTCTTGAAAAGCAAAACAAAACTCGGAAATGGAATAAAAGACCCTGCTCAAAACCTCTCTTCAGAATGCTGTGTGGCCAACATCTGGTTATCACTCAATATTTCTGGTTAAAAAAGGTTTTATTTATTTAGAAGCTGTTTATGGAAGTAGCAAAGTATTGGAAATTTTAAAATAACTCGCATGCTTGTATGAAATGATCACAGCTGTGCTCCCTCATTTCACAGAAACATGGCCCGGAGACACATTTCCATAGAATTCCAATAAGCAACTGCCGCACACACCCCAGATGGCCAATTTTATCACAGGACACAGAGGCTCAGGACTACAGTGAGGCGCTCTTTCCTTTTCACTGCTCTGAATGCAGTGCATCTCCAGCCAGAACAGCAAAAATACCAATGTAACAGCCTGTTCCTCCAGGCTCCTGTCCTATCCCCCCACTCCTCTGCCCGCCAGTTCTGACCTGACAAACCAGACCTCCTCCCAGGGCACCAGCCCTGAGCATCACTGGGCTGGAGTCAGAGCAGGGACCCCACTAACGCAGACAAAGTGCTTGTGGGCTAATTGACTCTTCCAATTATCTCAGACTGCCTGACTAGCTCTTCCAGGGTTTTAGTTCTCAGGATCTATTTGATGAACTTAGCCTTCTTGAGGTCTTAGCTACCGAAAGGAGCGTAGATGGGAAGGAAAGGAGGTATTGACAATGGCAAATGTCCCTTGAGAGGTAGGATTCAAATACATGAGAGATCTCTGGGTATGTATACCTTAAAGTGCTTTTGCTCTTAAGTAAGACTCCTGGTGACCCCATGTACATGCAGCAGAATTGCTCCATAGGGTTTTCAAGGCATTTAGAAGCAGATTGCTTGGATTTACTTCTGAGGTACTGCTAGGTCGATCCTAACAGCCAATCTTTCAGTTGGTATTTGAACACTTAACCAAATGTATGTAATCAGAGGTTCAGTTTACATGTTTCCCAAGTGCAAGTTAGCACTTTCTTCTTTTTCTTTAAAAGACTTAAAAACACAGAGGTTTCTTAGAACTTTTTGGGGCTTCACTGTTCTTCCTAACAATGTTGCCAAGCTGATATGGTTTGTGGGAGCCTTTAAGAAGAGTGACAGAAGGGTGCTGCTGGGGTTGAGGGAGAACTCCCAGCTTTTTATCATGACAGTGGCAGGCTGTCCGACAGGCGGTCCTGGCCACAGTGATAGGGCCTGGCTGCAAAGTCCTCCTAAATTAGCCATTCAGCTCACATTCAACAAGCATTTCCAAAATATCATTTTTGCATGGGGCTGCAGCACACACCCAGAATAGTCTCCCTGGCAAACTTAAGGAGATGTTATTATACACATGACAGAAAAGTCACCTTTGGCCCAGAAGTGTCACGGGGTTAAATGACTCAACTCCAGCAAGGAAGGACCTCGGTAGGTTAAAGAGCACCACCTGACAGCAGCCTGGGAACCGGTTCTACGACACCACTGTCCTGGAGTCACAAAGGCAGACAAGGCTCCTTAACGCAGTTTGTAAATTCCCTAAACTCGAAATCACTGGGCTTTTCTCATGCTTAACTGGGTGTAAGGACTTGTTCAGTCTCGAAGTCTGTTCTGTAGCTGTGCTTTCCTCTGACACTGTCCTTTAGTGGATTTTCACATGTGCTGTCGAAGAGAAAAGGTGTTGGGAGAACTCGCCCAAGTTTCACCCTAGAGGTCTCCTCGGTACCTGCAAAAGCCATGGGATTGGTCTGCTCTTTCCTCTCTGCGGTTCACAGGCTCCTCTCTGGGTGAGAAGCAGCTCTGCTGACGGCCACTAGAGAGCTGCTTTCCAGAAAGGACACCAGCCTGACACAAAATAAGCACAATTTTGTCCTACCTAGTTCTGCAAGTTGTTACTTTCAAAAGCTACCGGCACCCAATTATTTTAGACCTGCCTTCTGGTAATGAAGCCTTTCAAGACGCCCTCATTAGAGCCGGGCCCTCGTGTACCCACCTTGGGATTGGTTCGCTGTTGCAGTCTTCTTTCTTCCCTCTCTCTCTGCAGCCGCTCGAATTCTTCTCTAATTTCAGCTGGTGTTCGCCTCCTTTCCACAACCTAGGGCAGAATCCAGTGGAGGAGATAGTTAAGGGACTAGAAGGTGGAAAACCACAAGGCGCCGATGTAGTTTCTTTCTGGGGTGCATAAACTGCCTGGGGTTCTGCCACTCGTTTTTAACCATGACACTAAGGGATGTCAATAGGATAGTGATAAACTGTTCCATTAGAGTCCAGGGAGCAGAGACCTGCCTCATTAATGCAATATAATAATCCAGTAATTGGTACTTATTAAAGAAAGGGAGATTTCCAGAACTCCCTCAACGAAAGGGAGGCAGTTCTTTTTAAGGAAGTCTAAATAAAAAAAGACAGTTACAACTGTCTAAGAACAAATGGAAAGTCCTAACTGGTGTGACAGAGCTAGCTTTGTGGTCTCACAAAATGTACTTGGCTCCATTACCCTGACATGGCAAGCTCATTTTTTAAAAAAGCACACAGGGCATCTGCATCTATTTATGACACTTCCACTTCCTCAAAGTTACCCTGTATCTTGGACTGAACGAAACAAAGTACAGTTTTTAGAAGTTTCCATTATCTTCTCAACCGCCTGCTAGTCTCTTCCTTCTTAAAAAAACCCGAAGCAAAAAATAACAACAAACCTGAAGCAATTCAATGCCTTCGAGTCAGAGTTGACTCATCGCTGAAATATGAGTGGATTTTCAGAGGCTGTAAACAGTATGGAGGAGACTCCCTCAGAGCAGCAGGTGTTTCTGAATTTTTCATCTTTGGGTTGGTACTATAACTCCTTACCCACTAGCCTACCAGAGCTCAGGGAACAATCCCATTTAACTCTGATTTGAAATACTTTTAAAATCATTAATGACCTTTAAACCCTAATTTCACGAACATACCTCAGTCAATGGAGCCTAAGAGGCATATGATTAAGGATGTCTATTTTCTTGGGTTTGAAGCTTTGGCACTGGAAGAGAAGCTCTTCCTAGTGTGAATGAAGGTTTCATGATTGAGTATTTTAGCCAAAAGGATGTTATCTTTAAAAATGTAGGTTAAACATGTTTGATTAAGTATAACTTTAACCAATGGTATGCATTAGAAGGCTGGATAATGACCAGGAATGACAGATGAGAATGGATGCCTTTGAGTTGTGGTGCTGGAGAAGTGTATTGAATAAACTATGGGCTGCTAGGAGACCAAATAGGTTCATCCTAGAGAGGGTGAGACCAGGCTGCTCCTTGGAGGCAAGGATTCTGAAGCTCCATGTGACTTACTCTGGGCACATTGCAGGGAGGGGCCAGTCCTTGGAGAGGGACATCATGGTTGGGAGGGTGAAGGGATAGCACAAGAGAGAAAGACCCTGGATGAGATGGATTGACTCAGTGACTGGGAAAATGGGGGTACAAGGTCAGAGACAATAAGATAGAGCAGGATTCAGAGCTGTTGTACATAGGGTTGCTGAGTTGCAAGCTACTCAGTGGCTCGTAACAACAACATACAGACCCAAGAATATGCCCATATACTGATCTCCACCCGCCTCCATTATCAAATGTATACAATTCCATGAGTTGAAATTCCCAGTTTGAACTCGTGGGAAAAGACCAGAGTATCAGCTTCCATAGAGACCAGAGGAGGATAAGATTTGTGTTGAAGTATTCTAGCTCTTTTAACCTTTGCAAAGTGATTAACAGCTGTATATGACTTTCTTTCTGACACACAGTGACAAGCTAAAGAGGTAAATAATCCAAAGATGTCAAGTCATTCCATTTATAGACATATTTTATAAAAAAGTTTTGCAAATTATTGGCACATAATCAGAACGAACTACAAAATCAAAGTGCCTTACCCCCAAAGTAGTGAAGATGCTGAGCTGGGCAGGGCATCTCACATTTTGTTCCAAAGGCCCCCACATCCTTTATTATTTATATGCTTCTTTAAACAGAGCATATTAGAAGAGGGAGTAGAATAAAACTAAGCCAGCTGTAACTTCTTTTTTTCCCCAACTCAGCAACCCCTAGGCATAGCATCTAGGAACACAGCATCCTAAACTGCACTGCTGGTAACTATCACATATCTCAATGCTCAAAATGAACAGAATGTATCACATGTAGCCTGTGAGTCTCTGGACCTGTGCTGTTCACTCTGACCACTGACCCACTAGGTCCAGCCTAGAGCATCTCTAAAAGCTTGGTGCACAGTGCAAAGAATATGGAACCTTGGCCTCTCGAATCTCAACATTACATTTAATTTCCTGAGACATTTTAGACAAATCATTTTGCCTCTCTATAAACTCTAGTTTCTCTGCTGGATGATTCCTGAAGAACCATTTGATTTTAAAATCCCATGACTCTAGTAAGTAAATTTGTTAAGGAATGATTTTAGAAAATCATCCAAAACTTTAAGTTGCAAAGACAGTATAGAAAGTGTTTGTATACCCTGTAATATTAACTTCCCCCAATGTTAACACCTCACATGACAGTACGACATCTGCCAAATGTAATAAAGTAACATTAGTGCATCATTAGTTTTAAAAAGCTGTGGTGCCCTGGCAGTAAAGAGCTGCACTACCAACCTGAGGCACATGGTTTGAATCCACCAGCTGCTTTGTGGGAGAAAGATGGGCAATCTCCTCACCTGTGATTCACTGTTTCTGAAAACCTGCAAGAAGGTCATCCTATGGGTTGGTTCCAACTTGAGGGTATACAAAACATTCAAGGAAGAAAAAAAAACCCCAAAAGGCCAAACAGACTGCTGTCAATTTTGACTCATGGTGACCTCCTTGCTGGATCTCCAAGGTGGTACATTTTTACGGGGGAGGCTGCCTTTCTGCTGATGGCAGATTCATGCCACCAACCTTCTGGCTGGCAGTCCAACATGTATCACACTATTCCACCACAGCGCCTCTTAACTAAGCGCAGGCTTTCTGGTTTTCACTAGTTTTCCCACTAACATCTTTTTTTCTTTACAGGCTCTAATTGAGGCTGCTCTTGTTGTCACATCTCTTTAGTTTCCTTGATTGTGACAATTTCTCTTTCCTTGTTTCCCATGACCTTGATCCTAGTAAAACTTTTTCTATTTTTGTTTTTTATTGAGATTTTAACAAAAGTCTACTGAGAACTTGGATTTCCATTCAGTCATTGTTGCATATTTTCCTCCCTACCCAGCTGACTTTTCTTTTTTAAAAAAATTCTTTCATTGTTGCACAACTGCTCCCCCCCCCCAGTCCACTTTCCTAAGCACCTCTTGTTCTGGACTGCTGCCATGCAAATAATACCTAACCATATATTCCTTTTCCATTCATGGTTCTCACATTCCATGTTCCAATCACTAGTGTCTGCTTACAACTGTTCCTCTTCCTTTGTATTTCCATAATTAAGAGTTCCACCTCAGAAGCCCTACCTGTTAGTTTAAGTGTGTGCACACGGTTTTCGGAGGCCAGCTATTTCGGAAGTGGATGGCCAATCCTTCTTCCTAGTCTGTCTTAATCTGAATGCTCAAATTTAGAAAAGTATCTGACAGACAAAACATTTTATGCAAAAAAGCAGATGAAAGTTATTTCTCTAATTGTAGAATTAACCGATCGTTTCAGTGTTGTCCCTGCCCTGACACATGTGTCTTGACCCACCCATTTCCCTGCTCCACCATCCAACAGCATCTCCTTCCAGTCTCACCCACCCCATGGTCTTTGCAATCACTTGCTATGCATCAGAGAGCTGGACAAGGACTAGGGAGGATAGAAAGAGAACTGATGCCTTTGAGCTGTAGTGTTAGAGAATAGTACTGAATATACTGTGGACTGCTAAGAAAATAAACAGGTTCACCCTAGAAAGGGTTAAACCAGGCTGCTCCTTGGAGGCAAGGATTCTGAAGCCTAGTCTGACGTACTTTGGACATGTTGTGAGGAGGGATCAATCCTTGGAGAAGGATGTCATGCTTGGGAGAGTGGAGGGACAGCACAGGAGAAGAAGGCCCTCTGTGAGGTGGATTGACTCAGTGACTGAGGTAGTTGGGATAGTTGTGTCAGAGACAGTGAGATTGGAACAGGATAGAGCAGGATTTAGGGCTGTTGTATATAGGGTTACTGAGTTGCAGGTGACTTGATGGCATACAACAACAACAACAACAACATTCCTTTTAAACAGTTCTTTCCCTCAGCTGTTTCAATGCAGTGCACACTGTTTATCCCCTCTATCCTTAGTTTCCCCACAACACCCATGTTAGTCTTATTTTATAACTCTGGCATTATGCAGTATTTGTCTTTTTTTTTTTTTTTTAGTATTTGTCTTTTGGTGACTGTGATAATTCACTAAGTATAATGTCCTCCAGGATCACCCATTTTGTATAATATTTTATTAATTCCTTGCTTTTCAGTGCTGTGTAATATTCCATTCTGTGAATATACCATAGCTTCTCTACCCATTTGTTTGTTAATGTTCACTTGGTTTGTTTCCATATCTTTGCTATTGTGAACAATGCAGCAATAAACATGAGTGTGCATATATCTGTTTGGGTGACAGTTTTGATTTCTTTTTTTTTTTTTGATGCAACAGCAAGAGGCAAGAGGTTTATTGCGGAGCTCCGGGCCAACACGTATCTCTCGCAGGAGACAGAGGAGTCGACCTCGAGCAGACAAAGTTGGCTCTTTTTATACACTTTAGGGGGATACAACTGGGTATCAGCTTCTCATTGGGTGATGAAAGTTTTGATTTCTTTAGGGTATATTTCCAGTAGTGGAACTGCTCAGTCAAATGGTATTTCTATTTCCAACTTTTTGAGAAAGCATCATACTGCCTTCCATAGTGGTTGCACCATTTTACACTCCCAACAACAGGGAATTATGCTTTCAATCTCTCCACAACCTCACCAGCATTTATTGCTTGCCGCTCTGCTGAACTTTGCTATTGTTACTGGGGTGAGATGATTTGTATCTGTCTTAGAGGTAGGGATTTTGAACATTTCTTCATGTGTTTGTTTGCCATCTGAAAGTCTTCTTTTGTGAAGTATCTGTTCATATCCTGTGCCCTTTTTGTGGCTGGGTTGATTACCTTT